CGCAGACCGATGTCAGTGCCCACCTGTCTCGGCTGCCCGAGGCCCCGCAGAGTCCCCTGGCCTTGCCACGCTGGGGCCCGCGCTCTGCCGCAGCCGCAGTCACCCCCACACGCAAACTGGGGAACGAGCGGGCGCCTCGGCTTTCTCCAGAGTCAGGTTGAAAAGGCAGTGGAGAAGCTCAGGGGCGAAGGAGGGTGGGCGCTGGGGTCCCTGGCCAGTGTGGGCGCCTAGGTGCATAACGAAGCAGTTTCTGTCCCCTGAAGACGCTCTGAGGGTCCCGCGAAGGTGTGGCCAAGGGGTGGGGCAACTGACTTGTGGACACCGGACCTAAAACCTGATTTTTCCAGGGCCAGAAATGACTAGCAGTGTAACTCACGGCCTGGCTTACACACTAAATGACTGTGTGCGTGACGAATGAGTGCTTCATACGGGACTGGCTTCATAAGCTGGGTGGGAGCCCAGGTAACCCGTTACAGGGGTGCATATCGATCAACGGCCTAACTGATTGAAAGGCGGACTTGTTTATAACTCAGAAGGGCACTAACCTGATCATCAACTGACCACCACACCCCTTGATTGTCCTCTTGGTAGCCTGGTCACTCACCAGTTGAATTTCAGACTGACCAGGTGACGAGGTGACAGGATGGCCAGGTGACTGAGGTGGTGACAGGTTTGCCAAGTGACTGCAGAGATGACATGCTGATGAACCAAACTGTCCACAGTATCCCTTTGTCCTGACCCACAAATGGCCTTGGACAGACCCAGGGGCCCGGGATGGGATCCCAGCACAGGTCCTGCACTGGCCATTCCAGGGACGCCCAAGGTGAGAGACAGTCATCTCCTGTCTGCAGCGCAGGAAAGCCGGGTGAGCGGGCAATAGCCACCCAGAGTCCTGTCAGCCAGCCTGGCACCCAATCAGCGGCCATGCATGCCACCTATTCTACAACCAATCAGCAAGGTAGGTGGAGCCCTGTGTTCTCCTGTACAGGCCTCCTGGAGTTGATGCACAGCCATCAGAGCCAATCAAAAGGTGGAGGTCCATGTCCCGCACCCCCTTTATGCCCAATAATGTTGAACCTATGAGGAGAGGGTGATCCCCCGGAAGTTGAGATCTAGGCTTTCTTTTCAGCGAAGCCTTTCTTGACCACACTCTTGAAGCCACACCCCACTCTCCAACTCTGACCACTGCATTCCTATTAATTAACATTGAGTTTTGCTCACACTTTATCCATTGTACACTTTCTGACTTATTACACGTGTTAATTTTAATTTGTATTAGTACACATTTTCATTATGTTATGATTGCATTCATCCTTGGGAATTGGTAGGTGTATGTAACACATCTTAATTCTAAGTCTCCTTCACCTCCTTCCCTCTTCCCCCCTACACATTTTCAAAACACATTTGCTGCTCAATTATACTGTTAGGTCAGACTGACCCACTAGGATGTAAGTTCACAGTGGGAGACTCTTCATGTCATTACTGTTACTGTTATTTTCTCCATGGCCTCTGGCTTCTGTTCTGCTCTCCAGCGTGGGATGAACTGGTTTCCAGCTCCTCTTTTCATTCTCCCAGCAGACCCACACTCCTTCCTCTGGGCTCCCACAGCCCTATCCCCCCACCTGGTGCTACCAGATGTGGCCCTGTCTCTGCCCTGTCTCTTCCCGGCGGACACCTCAGCTCACAGCGCCTGCCCCCCAGGAAACCGCACGCCACAATGGGTCCTGTCCGGGACTGGGGAGCGGAGCGTAAGGGCAGCCTCCCCGAAATAACAGCCTTGTGGAAATGTGGGACAAGAGTGGCAGACACTTCCTCTGATTGCCTGATCATGGCCTTTCTTTTTCTTTTTCTTTTGTCCTGGGGATCGAACTCAGGACCTTACACTTACAAGGCAGGCAGCGGAACCACTGAGCTAAATCCCCAGCCTATCATGGCCTTTCTTTTTTCCTCCCGTTCTCTGAGTGACCCCATCTTACAGGCTGGCCGCTGGCCCTGTGCACTCTGTGCCCTGCTGTGGGACAATGAGCAGCTTAAACAACCCGTTTGTTTTCCTCACAGTTCTGGAAGTTGAAGGTCCCAGGTGTCAGTGTGATTAGTTTCCTCAGAGGCCTCTGTCCTGTGTCCTCCTGTGAAATTCCCCGTGTAGCCAGGCATGGTGGTACACACCTGTAAGTCCAGCACTAGGGAGGCTGAGGCAGGAAGGATTGCCATGCATTTGAGGCTGGCCTAGATTACATAGTGAACTCCCGTCTCAAGAAAACAAAATAAAAGGAAACAAAAAAGAGAGAAAGCAGTTTTCCCTCTGTGTGTGCACATCTCCTGTAAGGACACACGTCACACTGAAGAGGGCTATAATAATGTGGCTGCAATGACCCCACCTTCACTGAGTCACTTCTTTAAAATCCGTATCTCCAAAAAATAGTCATTTTCTGAGACCCAGGGGGTTGGACTTCAGCACATGAATCTG